TTAGTTGAGAGACTGAGAATATCAGTTAAAAGCTGATAAGAAGATCGGTATTGTAAGCAACAATGACGTTATTACTTGCAATTGTACAGTAATGAGACATGGTCAACTCGGTGTAGAGGTAAGGGGCCTTGCGGCCCATGGCAAATACTAGTACATGATCGCATGATGTTCATAATCGCATGAGTGCCAATGTCACGTGAACTCTGTGTGCATGCAATACAACGCTAAAGCTAGAATTCAATAGCACACCACGAAATGCTGTGTTGTCTACCTCTGGTGGCGGCTACCTGGAGCGAGTATCGGCAGTTTGGCAAGCAAGCATCGCTTCCATACCAGTCTGTAGATACCAGTGCTAGGCAGCGTCAGCCTTGTGAATACCTCTCGGCGTGACCTATTCAGATTTGACAATGGTCGTCTCCTCATGGTACTCGAAGTCGTCGGTCTTCACCGTCGTCCACGTTTTGGTAACTGAGACGTCTTCGCGATCCATAATGGCACACGCTGCTGGCTCTTGGCAGGGAACTACACAGTACAATCAAAAACATCAAAAACTCAATCGGATCAGATAACAGTGGAGACGAAAAGGTAATGTTCTTCGTATCAAACAACTGAGGATGGTGTTCACACCAACGAAACGTCCCGGTGAAAACAATTTTAATTTCGAACACTTTCTTGATCGAACACACTACAAGTCATGAATGCAACTAAGTACTGTACTATAGTCGGTGATCGTTGTTCCACAAAGTAGGGGGGGGGGGGGGGGCGGCGGGGGGGGGGGGGTAGCCAGGTCATTCCCTTTTGTCTTTCACAAGGCGCGATTTTCTCGATGTCTGGCTTTCGTAAACCCACACTACTGGTACCGTCATCATGCGCGTCTTCCTCCATTTGGGACCCAGGTTCAAGTTCTGGAAGCACGGACTTACAGCCATTGTTTGTTAATAAGAAAATCGCTTACCTTTACAAAGAACTTGAGAACCTTGAGGGCTTGCAAGCTTGGAGGTATCAGCAAACTGGGACTCGGCACGGAATAGCACCGTATAATTATAGAACACAGTAGCACGCAATCAGAACCGAGTTGTAACAGTAGCTCGTTTCGTGTGCGTACACAGTACTGTACATGTATATCTTTGCCAGGCTAAAAGACTAACGAAACGCCAAAGCCATGCAGGCGCCCCGGGATGACAGGGTACAGACCGGCACCACTCCATTTTCCTGCTCAGATACCACGGTCACAAGATTCAACGGTTTTGTCGTGTGCTGATGCGAAAGGACAAGTTCGCTCTGCCACGGGTGGAGTGAAGAGGAGAGTACTTTCGGCATTCTGATGACAGTTCGTACTGTGGCGCCAGCACGACCCCATCGCCTCTCCTTTCAAACTCGATCACTGGGACAAACGCCTCTACGGTTTTAGCAATATGTATGGAAGATGAAGGTAGCAATTTTGAATGTTCCCCACATCGCTTCCAGAACTTCGTTCCTATGGCCTAGATCGTAGTTGCCATGGTGAATTGGTGATACACGATCCGGAGACATTGCTGCAGGAAAGCTACACTTACAGCGACACAGATCGCAAGTCAGGCTTCAGATGTACATGATCTTCAGATCTTCCTTTTTTCACTAGGAACACAGCCCTACTTGCAAGCATGTGGAGAACAACAAAACCAAGACAAACACTCAATCTGCCGACAGAACTTTTTAGTCCTTTGTGGACTCATCACCGCAGCACTGAGAAAATGAGACCGAACCTGATGGCAATGAATAATAGAGTTACCTACAACAAGACAAAAGGGATGTAGGGACAACGTGCCAATGTACTGGGACTACCGTATTTTACCGGTTGTAAGTCGACCCCGGTTATAAGTCGACCCCCCCCCTATCTGGAGGTCTCAATTCTGCGTTTTAAAGTTTTCACCCAAAGAATCACTACTAACCACCTCCTGCTACTAACACATCAACAAATCATGTAAACATTCCTTATTGGAGGATATAACGTCCCAATCCTTGAAAAAGGCCAATAAACTGGCAAAATGTGTAAACATGGTGCACTCGTGCATGCAGTGCAGGTCATTTTTTTGTAAGATACTGATAGTTCCCGGTTATAAGTCGAATCCCGGTTGTAAGTCGACCCCCACCCTTTCTCCTTCTATTTTAAGTCGTAAAAGGTCGACTTACAACCGGAAAAATACGGTAACTCAATCCAGGCATCGTTAATGTTGGGGTGTTGTAGATATTCCAACTACTTTGTCCGTGCTCGTCGTTTCCCCAGGTACTGGAGCAAGTCAGGCGGTCGCCTAACAAGAAATTTGTTACATGTAGTGGGATTGGAGTCACTGGACGCTGGGGAACAATGGCAGCACCCTGCCGTTGGAAATGGCGATATGTTTGTAGAACTGGAAATGAAGAGCCGCCACGAAATCAATGCTTGTTGCCTACTTGAAAAGGAGCGGTCCACAACGTCGTGATCTCGGGGCGCATCTTCCATCAGCAGACCCTCACCCTGCTGTTGAGAGGGGCGGCGTCTGACGCATTCTAGGAGAGGGTTGCCGGCTCTCGTGGTCTCGTCGGCTTAGTGGTCCAACGCGCTTCACAAGGTTCTTTTAAAGTGTGCACCCGATGACAGTCACGAGTTCTTATCAAGTGTCAGTCAAGCCGTCAAGAATCGTGACCTGAGACTTACTCTTCTGCTGTTGTTGTTGCAATAATTATGTATTGCACGAGGACGATGCCCGCAGACTGTACGTCTGTTATGTCCAAAATTGAGAGAGGCACAAGCACGCACCACACGCACACGCACACCCACCCACACGCACGCACCCACACACATGTACACACAAGCACGCAAATGAACGTACATGTACATGTACATACACGCATGCACATATTCAGGCACACATACATACATGTACATGTACGCACATGGACACGCGCACATACATGTATACCGTACATGCATGTGCACTCACGCACACAAACAATAACACGCACAAACGCACACAAATACGAACACGTACACACGGAAACACACGCGTACACATGCACGAACATGGAAATGCCCATTTCATTTTTATTCTTTTATTCCACGATGATGTGACGCCAATAAGGAAGATTGAAAAGTGTGATAGAACTGATACTAGCCAGAAGCAGATTGCCCGGGAAGGCAATAAGCCATGGATCATGAAAAACAAGCGGGGTCAATGGCGGCGGTGGTCTTTTTGTAGAGTGCTAGTGTCATGACCGGGGAGTGGGCCAGACATACTATCAGGATTCTACGATTCCAGGTTCTTTACGGAAATATACCAGGAGTCCAGATACCCATTCCTCACCCTAACCACACAAGAAGACCAAAGCTTCACTCCAGGACCAAGTTCCAAGCAACAGAGAAGCAACAAGAACAACAACCACAACCCATCGACGCAAAGCATCGACCTATATACTGCTATAATTATAGTAGCGTGCAAGCTGAAGGAGCGAAGCGAGCGAGCAGCAAGCCAGCAAAGCATGAATAGTGATAGGTTTCCCAACGCTATTCATAGACGAGACACATCGACGCCACGGCAAACACTTGACAAAGATACATGTAGGAGCAGACGGAATACAATACAGATAGAAACACACGGACACGACATATCCCCCGCCTACGAACATGTTACGTCCTCGTAACAGAAGAAAAGTAACGGCACTGAAAAAGAAAGCAAAATAATAAAACTCTTGAAAACTTGAAAGGAAGGAACCAACCTCTTCCTACCCAAGAACCAAAGAAAACATAATGCGCCAGTCTTGCACAGACTCTCCGCCACAGCAGTGTTAGAAAAATAGGTTATGCCGTTACAACTACGTTCGAACAAGCTATTGGTCAGCCTGCAGGGATTGCTTCTGTGTTACTATCATTATGAACTATTATAATAAGACAAATCAAGACTAGACGGGTGACAAGACCAGAAACGTGTCCAGGAACTGGTAACTGACCCGAACTAACTTCACTTGAAATCCGCGGCTCCCGTTTGCGTGTTGCCTTCATCTTGACTTCCTCGATGTACCTCCTCTCCAGCTCTGGCTACGTCCAGCAGTTTATCGTCATGCTCCGGGACGGGCGCGTTGGTGATGGTGACCAACCGCGGTCGCCAGGGTGCAGTTTATCGTCGTACCCAGGACGGACGCGTTGGTGATGGTGGCGATGGCTATTGGCAGCGCTCCCTCTCGCTGCCGAGGGTTCGGAATGTTAGTGGCACTGGACATCCTGGCGTGGTCGCCAAATGTCATGACCGGGGAGTGGGCCAGACATACTATCAGGATTCTACGATTCCAGGTTCTTTACGGAAATATACCAGGAGTCCAGATACCCATTCCTCACCCTAACCACACAAGAAGACCAAAGCTTCACTCCAGGACCAAGTTCCAAGCAACAGAGAAGCAACAAGAACAACAACCACAACCCATCGACGCAAAGCATCGACCTATATACTGCTATAATTATAGTAGCGTGCAAGCTGAAGGAGCGAAGCGAGCGAGCAGCAAGCCAGCAAAGCATGAATAGTGATAGGTTTCCCAACGCTATTCATAGACGAGACACATCGACGCCACGGCAAACACTTGACAAAGATACATGTAGGAGCAGACGGAATACAATACAGATAGAAACACACGGACACGACACTAGTAACCGTTACCATGGTTACGCAGTCTTTACACTTACATGTACATGTAACCTTATTCTCAGGGGCATCCCCGAAGCGGACAATGAGGACAGCGTAGCACTGTCATCCAGATGTGAGCAGCTCCTCCAGATTAGTGCTGACCAAATACTCTCTGCAGAGCGCATTGGTTCCGCCAGCAAAGCCGTACAGGGCAAGGCCAGGCCAGTGAGGCTACGCATGAAAAGCCACGAGGCCAAGTTGTCAGTGTACCGTAAACGTCTGGATTTGAAACTGAATGATCAAGATGTGTACGTGAACAACGACCTGACCAAGCAACAGCAGATTGCTAGACGACAGGCCCTGCCTAGGTATAAGGAACTCCGCCAAAAGGAGATCCGTTGCTCGCTACCGTATGGTGAGATTTTGAACCCAGATGGCACCCCATACAGTGCAACTGAAATCGATGAGCTGGCAACACAATAGGTTTCATCAGGGTGTCCAAGAAATCACCAGCAACACTCCCTCTCAGCTACTTCACCTCATCTCCGAGCAACAGATGTCGTCGCTGACCCAGCAATTGACATTTTAAGAAATCCTTGTAACTATCCATCCAGTCAAACAGTGCCTGATTGTCCGTCTTCACCCATCAAGAGCTTAACCATCGCCCACATCAACATCTGTAGCCTAAGAAATAAAACTCATGAAATCCATTGCATAATGTACAAGTACAGAATCGATGTGCTAGCAATCAGTGAAACATGCTTGGACTCTACTGTGATGAATTGCGATCTTGCTATACCAGCCTACACTCTCTATCGCCGGGACCGAGCTGATCGCAGAAAGGGTGGCGGCGTTGCCATGTATGTGCAGGAACAACTGAAATCCAGGCAACTTCAAGTCAACGACAGGCTAGAGACCATATTCGTTGGGTTGCACACCCATAGCCGAACGAATCCATTTCTATCCATCGGCTGCGTATACCGCGCTCCCGACAGCCATGTGGATTTCTGGGAGCAGCTCGACAATAGCGTGCAGATGGCCTCCGCGACATGTCCGGACATCCTCCTCCTCGGTGATTACAATGTCAACATGCTCTCTGTCCCACCTCACCCAAACGCCCGCTATGTACAAGGCCTCTGCGCTGACCACAGCTTACAAAACGTCATACTACAGCCCACCAGAGTTCCTAGTCAGTCATGCCTAGACCTTGCACTCATACCGACAACAATGACAACGGCTGCTCCGTCTTCCTCTCCCATGTCTCTTCATAGTACATTTGTTCACAGCGTCGATGGCCTGTCCGACCACCATCTTATTGGCCTCTCTGTCCGTGTTAGTAGAGCCAACTTTGAACAGCCACACGAGCAATTCTCTCGAAGACGCCAACCTAGCCTGGCTCACCTTGACCGTAGTGTAACGTCTGCAGCTCTCAAACACATCCTTGACCCCTCAGATGTATCCGGCGGTTATACTCTAAATGCAGCGGCAAGCCACTGGCAACAAAGTGTCATGACAGTACTAGATGATCTTGCACCATTCGTTACCCAGAAGCGCGCAGCTTACTCCAAACCCCGCCCCCAGCCCTGGGTCACCCCAGAGCTGAAACAGATGTTTCATCGACGAAGCTCAGCCCACCGCGCCTTAATAAAGCACCCCATGGATGACCGCCTCCGACAGCAGTATCGTGCAATACGTCGTCAAGGAACTTTACTAAACCGCAAACTGAAAAGTGTGTACTACAAAGATAAGTTCAGTGCCGCTACAGGAAATCCTAGACTCCAATGGGCAGTGCTGAATCAACTAACTGGAAGGAGAAAATCCCACCCCACACCGAAAGCCTCCCTCTCATCTTTGTCAGATACCCTAGGCAATATCGTCCATGATGAACACCGCGCTGCTCTTACGACCCCAGACACTCCGGCGGACGACTGTTTAGACAACTGCCTTCTCGAATTCCAACCCGTTACAACAGCAGCAGTAACGAAGATTCTCGAACGATTGAATACCACGAAAGCATCTGGATCAGACGGCATACCAGCTTACATCTTGAAACACCATGCCGCCGAGCTGGCCAATTCCTTAACTTCCATCTTCAACCAGTCATTGTCTAGCGGAAAGGTACCGTCAGCCTACAAACTAGCGTCTGTGTGTCCAGTGTTTAAGAAAGGCGACCCCTACGACAGTTCCAACTATCGCCCAGTCTCGCTACTGCCCATTATCTCCAAAGTCTTGGAATCACTAGTGCTCCAGCAGCTTCACGACCATCTGGACATCACACCCGGAGCAATTCCAAATGAACAGTTTGCATACAGGCGGAACCACAGTACTGAGGACCTTTTAACACTTGCCATCAACAACTGGCAGAGAAGCATGGATACCGGAGACTATACGGCCGTACTGCTGCTCGATATGAGCAAAGCCTTTGACCGCGTCCACCATCAAACGCTAATAGATGACCTTCACAATCTGAAGATCCGTGGAAATGCTCTTGAGTGGTTCAAGTCGTATCTGTCTCACCGACAGCAACGCGTAGAAGTGAACGGAACCTCAAGTGACTGTAGAACCTGCACTAGGGGCGTTCCCCAGGGTTCCGTCCTAGGCCCTACCCTCTTCAGCATCTACACTCGACTTGTCCCCACTCTGCCATTGCGTTCCCAATGCCTTCTTTATGCAGACGACACCACCATGTATGCCTCTGGAAAGTGTCCACGAATTCTCATGTCTTACTTAGAAGACGATTTTTCAGTGGTTAAGCAGCACCTCACAGATCGCGGCCTGCTCCTGAACTCCAGCAAGAGCCAAGTACTACTGATCCACAACAGACGCTCACATCCCCCACCTAACCTGAGCATTGTCTGTGGTTCGACTGTTATTGCCCCGTCTGACGAAGTTAAGTATCTAGGACTGACTCTCGATTCAACTTTAAGTTTCAGTGCCCACGTTAACTCCCTCAGGGAAGACATCGGAAAGAAACTAGGTGCTTTTCGACGTGGAAGGAGGAACCTTGCTGTCCAGGCCAGAAGGCAGTTCTACTTGTCAGTAGTCCAGAGCAAGCTCGAGTACGCCAGCACTGCCTATGTCCACTGCCTCGCTGACAATGTGAGAGATCAGCTGCTACGCATAAGTAAGAGAGCCCTTAGATGCATATTTGAGCATGACACATTCACGCGGACATCATACTTGCTTGAGCGATACCACATAATTAGCTTAGACAAAAGATATCATACTAAGTCCATATTCTTCGTGTTCCGTTGCATCCACAATATCTGCAGTTCACTCCTCTCTGACATGTTCTCCCTTCGCCGTGACTGCGCTCACACAGACAGAGTAACCCGCGGCCAAGTCAATTATTCCCTTTCCTTACCCATTGTGCAAGCCCAAGCTGGATACAGATCTATTTCATTCCTTGGTGCTGACCGCTTTAATGCGCTTCCCGAATCCCTTCGCACAAATCATATCCCCAATTCATTTCGCCAGGAACTTAACAATTTCATTCATCTTGGGCACCCTGTAAGAAGACCTTAGGGTCTGTTGGGAATGCCCAAGTAAAATAATAAAATACAATACAAATACAAATACAATACATGTGGACAATCATACTTTGGCGGACATGGAAATCCAGTCGATTGACCAGGGCCGGCGCCCTCAGCGCGGTCAGAACGCTGGGTCCAGTCATCACTGGTCATGTTGATCCGGTGCGACCAGGGCCAGCACGCTGCAGCGCGAAAAATGCATGTGTGTGTACCGCTTATCCACGGCTGCATGGCCAGCGCGCTGGGGCTGCTAGACGTGCGACCGGATTTCCATGTCCATGACAGTACATTGATTACACAGCAATGACACAACCAAGTACTCTTCTGCCCTTACTCAGAGTTTTGTGAGAAACGAAAAAATAGGAACGACCTGTTAGTGTTTGTATCATTGCTGTGTCAGAATTGAATTACTGGCTGTCCACTGGATATAGAGCAGTACACGCAGCATGTGGATCTCAGACAACCGTACACAGTACATAAATTGAAATGTTGCATTTCAACATTCCTTGCCAGCAGGCTTTAAAACTTGTTCAATAAACATGTATTGCATGCACATACAAAACCTGTAACTAAAGACCACCATGACTAGCGACCAGCCTGGTACTACGGACCACTTCGCCAGGTACGGACGATCTCACATTCATGATGGGTGTGTGCTGCAAACCTCTAACCAAGGACCACCTGCCACTGTGATCGAATCCATGTGTTCAATGCATTCTAGGTTGCTAACATAACAAACCAGACCAGACACGGTATGGACTCATGATTGTATGTAGGTGTGAACAAGTTAGTTTCTGGCAATGTTGTGGTGTTTGGTTTCCGCCCAACATTGTCGATCTGCATGTTTGCACTAGCGTGCAGCTGAACCAACGCAGCCGAACCAACGTGCCTTGCAATGCTTTGCTAGGCTTTTCTTTCACTGTATCTTTTTGGTCACATATAAAATTTTAGGGCTGAAACGATTATACCAATTACTCGGTAATCGATCGATAATTCCTTATCAATCAAGTAATCGTTACGTTATAGATTACTCGTTAGAGATTTTGAGTCCAAAAAGTACTGAAAACCCTCGTTTTTGTGAAGTTCGAATCAGTTTCCGCTGTGTGTATGCAGTTGCCAGGGGCATGGTGCATATTCTGAGGTTAAATTGACTTCAAAACTGTCATGTTTTGGAGCTTCCCTGCCACTAATGCAGATTTTTGGTATTATGAAGGCCTAGCTTTTGGAAACAGGATAAATTTTGCACAAAATTCTGACACTATTTGCTAAAGATTATAATCGATTACTCGATCGTTAAGCTAAAGAGTAATCGATAGGTGAAAATCCATGATCGTTTCAGCCCACCGTACACTTTTCTTACTCAACAGAATCTTAGAACGAAGAAGGAACGGTCGGTTGTTGTCTTTGGCGGTGTGTCGGATCATAGTGCATGCTACTAGGCGCCATTCGGTTACAGCACTTTTTGGTGCCGAAACCCGGGACTCAGGAGTTTGTGTTGTAACTCGGATTAATCGGGCGAATTGGGTAGCAGTGCGAGATGGCCAAAGTCGAATGCTTCTTGAGACCGTTCCGCGGGGGTCGGGACGACCTGAGCGAATTCTGGGCGAAGTTCTCAGTTGTCGCGGACTTGCAGAAGTGGGACTCGGACGAAAAGAAGATGGCGAATCTACCGCTCTATCTCGAGGGTGAGGCATTCACCGTGTGGAACGAGATGGCGGCAGCGGATAAGAAGAAGCCGGCCGATGTGAAAGCGAAGCTGACCGCCGCTTTTGGGATGGCACCGGATCAAGCATACTCGATGTTTACGTCCAGGATCTTGCGAGGAGACGAGTCGGTGGACAACTTCGCAGCGGACTTGAAGAGGCTTCTCACCTTGTCTGGTGAGCAGGTTGATGCTGATGGGAAGAATAAAATAGTGATCGGGCAGTTTCTCTCCGGGCTCCCCTCTCAGTTTGCGAAGGAGCTCCGTATGAGTGGAAAAACGGACACCATCGACGATTGCGTGGAGTACGTCAGGCGGCTTGGAAGCGTGGAACGATCGATGAAGCCCGGTGTGGCAGCAGTGAGCTACGGTGCTCTAGACGATCGGGCTCCATCAGGCTCTTCCAGGATGACCGCTGCAGCAGGTGTAGGTCGCGACCCCGCGAGACGTGTCCTGTGTTACAAGTGTGGTCAAGTTGGCCACTTCAAGCGGAACTGCCCTGCGAGCACTAGTAGGTACCGGTAGCCACAAGCAAGCCAAACACAGTCAGCTGACGTGTTTATTCTGCGACGAGGCTGGGCATATGATGAGAGATTGTTCGGAGTTCAAGGACTTCAAGCAGAAGAAGCAGCGGGGTGGGAGTGCAGCGGCTGCTCCTGTGCACTCTGGTGATCATGGTGACTCCAAGGTGTTATGCCTGAGCAGTGGAGGTGACAGTCTGCCACGGATCTTTGTGGACATCAAACGGTCCGGCGGTCCAAGCAAGCGTGTAGTAGCTGCTGTGGACACCTGTGCATCCCGCTCCCTTGTAGCTAGCGCCCTGGCAACCGACCTAGCTTTGGATATCAGGCCTACGTCATCGACAATTAATGCGATCGATGGCAGTCCGGTGGATGTCCGTGGCGTCGTGGAGTGTACAATCTCACGGCTGGATAGTGCTGTGGTTCGCCTACGTGAGACCGAGACTGACATGCTGGTGGTGGACGACCTGTCTGTCGTGGAGGCTGATGTGCTGATTGGAGTTAACAGCATCGCGACTCTGGGTGGTGTGCATATGCAGTATGACGCAGGAGAACTGGTGGGGGTTGTATTCGGGACCGTCAGTGCTGCATGCCCATTGGTGCTGGCGTCGAGCACCCCAGATGAGCATCCGTCACGCCCCGAGTCGGAAGCACGAGCCGTCGCTGAAGACTTTCACCACGCGGACGTGGAGAAGCTCAGCAATGGCGATGTTGTGCTGCGGGCATCAGATATGATCCTCCGGTGGAGTACGGCTGACAAGGCGTGGGAGGTGCAGTGGCAATGGGCGGACAAGACGGAGCCGACTACGTGCATCGGGTCAGGCCTTGGAGAGTACCCACGATCCAAGCTCTCCAAGGAGCAGGAACAGCTATTTGGAGATGAGGTTGAAAAATGGCTCGGCAACGGCTGGCTAGTGAAGCATGACGTCGAGAAGCATGGTGAGCCGAGATGTGTGCTGCCTCTGCTCGCTGCTACGCAGGAGCATAAGGCATCAACGCCAGTTCGGCCCTGCCTCGACTACCGGCTCCTCAACCAGAAGCTGACGTCGCACCCTGGCACCGACGCTCCGGCATGTGGCGAGACGCTACGGAGGTGGCGTCAAGCGGGCGTTCCGCAAGCGTATCAGCTGCTGGATATCAGCAAAGCGTACCTACAGGTACGCATTCATCCCGATTTGTGGCGTTATCAGTGCGTGGTGTGGCGTGGCGAAGTGTACGTCCTGGAGCGGATGGGCTTCGGGCTGTCCGTGGCTCCAAAGGCAATGGACTTGATCGTGAAGTGGGCCACGCGTGATCTCGCTGGCGTAGACAACTACGTTGATGATCTCTACGTCCCAGAGCAGCTCGTCGACCGCACCAAGTCGCGGCTCCTGGAGTATGGCCTGCCAACCAAACCGGCTGAGCCAGCCGTGAGTGCGCGTGTGCTAGGTCTGCAACTTCAGGCTAATGACGAGGGGAGTGTGTCGTGGACGCGTCGCGAAGGTGTGTCTCTACAGCTACCCGACAAACCAACGAAGCGCGAACTGTTTAGTTGGTGTGGCAGAGTGATTGGGCACTACCCTGTGTGTGCCTGGCTGCGCCCATCGTGTTCGTATGTCAAGCGCCTTGCCTGCACGTCAGAGGTGGCATGGGATCAGGCTGTACCGGATGCTGTCTTGAAGTGTTGCCGCGACATTGTTCACCGCCTGTGCAATGATGATCCCGTTAGCGGAGTGTGGTACGCTGACCCAACGATGGGTACGTCGCGAGCGTATTGTGACGCGTCCAACCTGGCAATTGCCACGGTGCTCACGCAGGATGGCAAGGTTGTCGAGGATGGTTCATGGTTGCGAGACAAAGCAGACAAGCGTCATATCAATGTGGCGGAGCTCGAGTCGTCTCTGAAGGCGCTGGATCTGGCCATCCGGTGGGACGTCAAGAACCTGACCATCGTGACCGACTCGAAGACGGTTGCTGGTTGGTTGCGCTCGGTCTCGCAGAATACTCATCGCGTGAAGGTCGGGGGTCTCCACGAGTCTCTCGTCCGTCTCCGCCTGCAGGTGTTTCAGGACACTGTGGCTGCTGCTGGCATGACGGTGTCCGTGGAGTGGGTCCCCTCGGAGTCGAACGTTGCAGATCGGCTCACCCGCGTGCCGACCTCATGGCCTCCCTGTCGGGAGGAAGCAGGTGAAATCGCAGCAGCGCTACCAGCAAGCTCTATGAAGGGGCCAACGTCGATGCGGTCTATCCGCGGGTGCCAAGCGGTAGATGCGGACGTGCAGCTGACAGTGACACAGCTACAGGATGGAAAGCAAGTGACGAGCCAGCTGTACAAGAAATCAAAGGGTCAGCTGCGTGTTATTGATGGCGTCCTGTACCTCAGTCGTGTGGACCCCGTCGATGGTGATGTGATCGTACCGGTCCTGCCTACTGCACTGCAGAGTGAAGCCGTCGGTGCTGCTCACCGCAACACCGGACATGGTAACTGGGAGACCATGTGGGGCAGTCTTCGGAAGTGCTGTCATTTCCCACAGATGGCGCAACGCTGCCAGGAAGTCGTCCGAGACTGCGGGACGTGCCGTGCAGCGAACCCGTCGCGAGGAGAGCTCAACCCTCCAGCCGCGAGAAGCGACCTACCAACCAGGCCGTGGGAAGTCATCCAGATTGATACGTTAGAGCTGGGACCCAGCCTCAGTAGTTCCTACCATTGTGTCCTCGTGTGTGTGGACATGTTCACACGGTGGGTGGAAGTCGTACCCCTAGCCCGCCATGATGGTGTCAGTGTCGCGGAGGCGCTTGTTGGTATTTGCACCCGGTTTGGCCCACCAAGCGTAATTCGATGTGACAACGGCACGGAGTTTGTTAACTGTGTGGTGTCGTCTCCGCTATCGATATTCGGCGTACATGTGAGGCATGGAGCTGTGCGCCACCCTCAGAGCCAAGGGGGAGCCGAGCGCTTCAATCGCACGCTGCTGGGTCTTATCCGCAAAGTGGTCGAGTACAGCAGCGATTGGCAGACAGAGCTGAGCATGCTGCTCTACTACTACAGGGTGCGGCCGCACAGTGCTACTGGGATTTCGCCATGCGCTGCAATGATGGGATGGGAACCACGCAACCTCCTGGTCGAGCGCGAGGAAGAAGACCTCAGTTTGTCAAGCTGGGTTGAAAGCTTGGCAGAGAAGACGGCACGTGTGCGAGACCTCGTAAACGAAGAGCTCTCCCGGAACGACACAGAGAGCGTGATCGAAGGAGCAGAGTACAGCGTAGGGGATGCGGTGCTGTTACATCGGCCTTCCCGGAGCCGCACGAGCCTGGGTGGCGCATCGTTCGCGTTGTGTCGCCGTCGACAGTTGTCATCACCCGGGCTGCTGATCCACACTCAGCGGAGAAGATTGTCAACGTGGAGATCATCAAGAGGGATGTCGCCCGTGACTTGGCCCAACCAACAGCGCCGATGGACGACAGTGCAGCGGCAACAGATGGTGGTTATCTGTACCAGCCAGCATCAGTGCTGCCAGGCCCTGAGCCCAACATTGGGGATAGCGGCATTCGCATGTCCCTGCGAGACAGATCTGCCATTAGGCCACCGCAGCGCTATGGCTCCTGAAACTGTACGTGTGCCGTGTTATCAGTCTAGCTTGGCGCGTGCTTAGTTAGGAGCAAGCTAGCAAATGCAAGACCCATTACGCATTTTGCTGTTCTCTTGTTTAGCTGTTGGTGGAGTGTTGTTCTTTTCTTTGGAGAACCTTAGTTCTACGTTTTAGTGCAAGTTCCCTGTTTTGTTGTGTTACCAGGGGAGAATGTGTGATCGAATCCATGTGTTCAATGCATTCTAGGTTGCTAACATAACAAACCAGACCAGACACGGTATGGACTCATGATTGTATGTAGGTGTGAACAAGTTAGTTTCTGGCAATGTTGTGGTGTTTGGTTTCCGCCCAACATTGTCGATCTGCATGTTTGCACTAGCGTGCAGCTGAACCAACGCAGCCGAACCAACGTGCCTTGCAATGCTTTGCTAGGCTTTTCTTTCACTGTATCTTTTTGGTCACATATAATACCGTACACTTTTCTTACTCAACAGAATCTTAGAACGAAGAAGGAACGGTCGGTTGTTGTCTTTGGCGGTGTGTCGGATCATAGTGCATGCTACTAGGCGCCATTCGGTTACACCACTAAGGACCACTTTCTCTGGCCCCAAGCCAAGGTGTGGTCGTCAGTCACAGGTTGTACTGTACATGTACGTGTACAGAAAGTACTCATCTGATGATCTCCTTACCGCGGCCATGCATACCCGGCCATGCATACCCGGCCATGCATACCTGGCCATGCATCTTACCTGAACCGTCGGAGTGGAGATCGGAACATTCGGTGCAAGCACACATCCAGTGTACCCCGGTTACATTGTATAAAACACGTCTCTCTTTCCATTGGATATAAAGTACCTCTTCACGAACAGTGTATCATTTTCCAGACATTTCATCTCGGATATAGAGCGCCTCGGATATAATGTACAAGTTCTTATGTCTCCCGAAGGTGCATGTATAGTATACTGTCTTGAGTTTAGCGGTACTTTGCATTGTACGTACTATACGTGTGGAGCTGAACCTACTGTCTAATGATATCGTGCATCTGTACAGGAGACTGGCCAAAACACATCCTTACACGATTTAATTATTAGGATATCATTTCCAGTGATTTGGGAGCAACATATTGATGCCAACTAAAGCGAGATGATGAGGTGTAAGGGCACCACTATCCCGGTAGCAAGAGCACACTCCGTACTCAACCGGTGCAACGAAATGTGCGAGTGTCTGCAACGCATAAACAACAACAACAACAATAACAACAGCCCATCACATCTGGCTGTTCTTAGTGTCATTGCCATGACCACACTGTCAGAATGGTTATGGAGATCTGTCATCTTTTTACAAGTTGCCTTGCATGTAGCATTGTCTGAATCTGCCAGGAATGCATCGTTAATTGATCGTTTCCGCCCCTTCTAGCCGGAATCTAGTGCAACGGAACACATGACATGGGTCCTAGATCAAACTTCCACTAAAAGCGGCATGATCGAATTATTTGCGACAGATTCCAAGCACATATATCACGATTCCAGCTGACACGCGACGTCGGGTCTCCACCCTACGTGTATATGCATGTACCTGTACGATATGGTGTGGACGCCGATCATGTGACGCTATCATCACGCTATGTTTTCGCCCCATTGGGCTTGATTCGCTGGTCCCTAGTGGGAGGTGTAGAAGAATATTATAATCTCAGTGCATTCACGGAACCCCTGAGGCGTGCACACTGCACACCTGTGAGAGGAGCTCCGCAGTCCTGCCCAGTTTGCCAATTGTTTCTGCTGTCCTTCTATATGCATCACCAGGCACTAGCTGCTCATCGCACGCACTGTTCGCCTAACCGTCAGCCACCTTTTGAGCATTGCATAAGTAGAGTGTCCCCATGTAATTTTGCAAATATTAAGAAGAAGGTTGTAGTCTCTACATAGCGACTTCTACGGCAAAAGCAATTGGACCCGTGCGATAACTAGCACTCTTCCACGGACCTTCGCCAACATTCTCACAAGTTCGAAAGGTAAGGATTATCCAATTGTTCATCTGTGCTAGCCCGGGCAGGCTGAATTTTGGATAACGGAAAAATGATGTGTGTATGCAAGCGACTTAGTCCGCACTGGCTATGAATATGTTCGTAGCCCGCCTGAGTTGTGATGACCGTGTCTATCATGCCCCGTTTGGCAACCTTATCGCGTTATATTCGCGCTTATAATGCTAGAATCGGTTGATGAGGGGAGACCAAGTTACAAAGTGGAGTAACAATACATGTGCGCTGACTCAACGGCGGCAGATGGTAGTTCTTCGCTGGGGTAATTTCGCCCAATATCCCTTCCCAGAAAAGCTGTGAAGTCGGTAGAAAATGATCTTCCCGTTAGCTCTCCTTGCTGCTAACAAGAGTACACATACTCTTGCTGCTACTGTATCAATTACTGACATTCTAAATCCCCGGACACGCCGGCAGCTCACAGTCATTCTGTATTGTTTGGATCTTGTTAGGTCTGATCAGCGGAGGCCAGAGGTACTGGCCGAACCGATCGCCATAAGGTCGAGGGATCAACACAGTATTTCACAGTATTTTCTAAATCGGCTCGAAAGTATCAACATTAGAGTGCTTTAACTGAGATAAACACAGCGAGCTTTGCAATGCATCTGGATAATTGCTCGTACCCGTCGTACCGTCTTGTGGCCAAAAAAAGCAATTCACCACCCGAAGGAGCTCTGTTTGGAATTATTTCTGGGTTTGCATTACACATCAATTGTCACCCTATGGCCATTGGAAGCAAGTAGCACCAGCCGCTTGGGGTCACTCGCTTGACACAGGTTATAAGTGAAGGATGTTCTGCGCTTTGTGTTAACCATGCGCAGGTCAAGTGAAGCAAACATGGAGGCCCAAGGATCCTGGACCATAATGCAGTCAGGCGAACGCGTGTACTACCCAGAGGAGTACAGCGCACGTCAGGCACCATCGCCAAGGAGTACGGCTATGTCGGTAAGGCCCTCACAGTATCATCCACACCAACAAACGTATCAGCCGTACCAACAAACGTATCAGCCGTACCAGCAAGCGTATCAGCCGCACCAACAACAAGCGTATCAACCATACACGTATCAACAAACCCATCAGCCATGCCAGCCCTGCATGCAGCAACGGCATTACCAGCAGCCAGTCCAGTATCACCAAGATGCATACCGGCATCTGGAAAGTGATGCGTTCCCAAGACTCAATCCTAATGTGGAGTACAGCCGTAGTGGGTTTCCAGACGTGCAAGTTCCTTTGCCCAGGCATGCTGTCAGCACCTTGCGCGAGCGGGCATCAGCTAGGGAGGCTAGACAAGCGCCCACAAGCAGCCAGCCCCAATCACGTGACCAGCCTCAATCACGTGCATCCATGCAGAACCAGCGACAGCGTTCTGCTTAGGTGACACGGTGTCTCCGAGGCTGACTATCCCCCCCCCCCCCCCCCTCTCCCCCTCCCCCCCTCTACAACCTGCATCCAATGCGTGCATATTATTACTAGGGCTCAAACGGCTAGTCCGATTAACCGGTTGCAGACCGGTTACGAAGAATTAACGGTTAACCGATAAAGATAACGGTTACGCAGTAACTTTTCAGTCAATTTTTCAAGTATCAGGTCGTTGCAAAGTGTGCACTTTCGCGGGCTGTCGCACGCGTACGCAATTTCTTGGCTGTCAACTCGGTCATATCTGGTCTCTTGGTGTGAGCGTATGTATGAATGAGCATGCAAGAGAATGTACAAGTGTGCGTTGTACTGAATAGGGTAATTTTTTGAACGAGTTTAGTCAAATATACGGTTAAAAAAGAGTCCGCAGGATTGCCGTGGCTTATAGGCTATAACCGGTTAATCGACCGTTAGCTTAGCAGTTAACCGTCAGGGGTAAAACCGTGACCGTTTGAGCCCTAATTATTACCTCCCTTCGGCCTTTGGTTTCCCACACATGTACATACACTGTACATACATACTGTACTAGCTGAAATCAAACAGGTGTGTATGCTTTCGGCAGACTTCGCGGAAAACTAACCCTGCTCATGTGAGAAACGCATCCACAGCGATGTTACATGTACTGGCATCGTATCTCTTTTAATCTTGCTTCACTTTAGTCCTAGCCCTAGCTGCACACTACATGTCATTGTACTCGTACATGGTTGTCAGCAAGCTGTAGGCACCGGCAGATTCTGCTCGAAAAGGTGGCAGATTCTGCTCGAAAAGCAGTGAAATTGGCAGAACCATAATTACAAACCTTATGGCGGGCAATTCCTCAATTTCTGCTCCGTTTCTTTATCCACATACCAAACATGCTTGAAACTCCCCAGAAAAAGTACCGAATTCTGCCAATTTTCCTGACGGCATAATCCGCCTGTGCCTAGTGGGCTGACTAACAATTCAGACTAGTCAGTGAGAGCGAACAAAACGTGCACCGACATAACCAGCAGCCCATAGATACTGTACATGTATATTATGTACATAAACATGTACACTGCTGGCAACTGAAATCCGACCCCCTCGGCGGGGAGCCGCACCGCCAAGGGGGTCGGATTTCAGTTGTCAGCACTGTACTTGTACATCTGATGTACAATGTACATGTAATGATGTATGTACATGTACATGTATCTGTCAAGTGGATGCATTTGACAAGCTGATCGCCTGATGGCTGACACCTGGGCGATTATGATGATCCGTCAAGGCTGCAAGGATCACGGCTGCCTCCAGACGCCCCGGAGGCTGAAAGCTGTCTATGGCAAGTGATGTTGACATGAGATTGACACTAGGACAGTGTGCAGCGCCGTGCAGCGCCGTGCAGGGCCGTCTGTACTAACTCAGTACAGGTAGGCAGTCGGATCGAAATACACTCACAACCTCGGTAATCCGGACCCTGAAGTTATGGTCACTTCGGTCTACCGAGCGTGCACCCTCTGGGTGAGTTTAATGCAGTGGAAATATTACTACTCTTTGGTCACTCGTTGTGGAAATAGTGATGCCAGCATTATGCCATATCTATGGCCTTTACCAGGGAGTATTTTACTACTCCCTGGCCTTTACCCATCAACATGACATTGTATGTGTGTTAGGAACATTTCAAAGTAACGGAACGGCCTGGATAAGCAATCTACATCTACATGTACAGTCAACTTCGCTTATAACGACACTCGGCGGGGCATCCAAAAAAAAGTGTCCTTATTCGCGAAGTGTCGTTATACCCGAAGTCTCATTGTATGTATTACGGTTGGAAGGGACTTTGCTCTGGGCATGGAAGTGCTGTCGTTTTTCGCGAATTGTCGTTATATCCGCAGTCGTTATAAGCGAAGTTGACTGTATTAGTGTAATAGGATTGACAAGCAACACTAACGACCTGTCCTGTGCTTTGATTGATTGTGCTACTTTGCATGCAAAAAGGCAGCACCTATGGGTAGCAAGATTCCTTGTTCGTGCTCCTTCTAGCCAGCTACCGTATAATGTACTTGACCGCGAGACCTTTCTAGGCTTTGGTCGCGGTGGTACACCGCACCTCACCAGCACAGCTCATGTAGCGTATTTAATTTGCCCGTTCAAGAGGCTCGTGTATAAAAAAGAAAAAAAAAAGAAAACAGTGCATACAGGCTACATAGCCATTGCGGTACTTTATTTTTATTTGGCTTCCACTCTTCGTATTGGTATGTCCATTAAAATGGAAAATAAAATACCCAGGGCCACGCCAACTGCGAACAGCGTACTCAACCCAGAATAATATGCATGATCCTGATAACGAGAGGCATACAAAGCATGCGAGTGCACTACCCCACCATTGACACTACTTGGAAGGCAATTGCCGTTGTAACGAAGCTCAGCAGATCCGTTCTTAGGAGATTTAGCAAAGGGCACTCAGGTTCGTTGCAACTCCGAGTGCCATGCGGCACAGCAATTACCAGACAACTGAATCCTCTCTTGAGTTTGCTGCACCCTAACCTCTGTCTATGCACAAGGAGCACGCTGGGCAGTTCGGGGATCAACGGATTTGTATTATCATTCTGACATGATTGGCTAATGGACAGCCAGACAAAGATACGTACAGATTCGTGAGGGTGGAGATACAAAAAATGGATGGATCGCTAAGACACGTTTGAATACCGAGAAACGGGAATGTGAGATCATGGTCCCGTCGTGAACCTGTATATTACCCCTGTGATCATATCGCGTAGTATTGTGCAGGACCGTGAAGTAAATCCAACCTATGACATACACCAAGAGTAAGGGGTTCCATGTCTATGTATGTACTTTTGATTTAGTCGTACACGTACACGTACACGCACTAGAAGGCAGCACTAGTCGTCATCGGAGGTGGTTATCCGCACGGTCGTCTCCTGTTGCTGATAGACGTAATCCTCAGTCTCCACTCTGATCGTGGTCTTTGTCTCTTCGCGCTCCATCCTGGCTGGCAGTTACGACGCGACGGGTGGACAGGCTGTCAGGCGCAGATCAAGCCAAGCAACACACACACACACACACACACACACACACACACACACACACACACACACACACACACACACACACACACACACACACACACACACACACACACACACACACACACACACACACACACACACACACACACACACACACACACACACACACACACACACACACACACACACACACACACACACACACACACACACACACACACACACACACACACACACACACACACACACACACACACACACACACACACACACACACACACACACACACACACACACACACACACACACACACACACACACACACACACACACACACACACACACACACACACACACACACACACACACACACACACACACACACACACACACACACACACACACACACACACACACACACACACACACACACACACACACACACACACACACACACACACACACACACACACACACACACACACACACACACACACACACACACACACACACACACACACACACACACACACACACACACACACACACACACACACACACACACACACACACACACACACACACACACACACACACACACACACACACACACACACACACACACACACACACACACACACACACACACACACACACACACACACACACACACACACACACACACACACACACACACACACACACACACACACACACACACACACACACACACACACACACACACACACACACACACACACACACACACACACACACACACACACACACACACACACACACACACACACACACACACACACACACACACACACACACACACACACACACACACACACACACACACACACACACACACACACACACACACACACACACACACACACACACACACACACACACACACACACACACACACACACACACACACACACACACACACACACACACACACACACACACACACACACACACACACACACACACACACACACACACACACACACACACACACACACACACACACACACACACACACACACACACACACACACACACACACACACACACACACACACACACACACACACACACACACACACACACACACACACACACACACACACACACACACACACACACACACACACACACACACACACACACACACACACACACACACACACACACACACACACACACACACACACACACACACACACACACACACACACACACACACACACACACACACACACACACACACACACACACACACACACACACACACACACACACACACACACACACACACACACACACACACACACAAACAACGCACAGTACATGGAATTTGCAATGTTGATCGAAGCAGTGTAAACGCTATACGTTGGAGTGAATTTTAAAATAGGGTAACCGGGAGATGCGCAGCAACTCCATAAAGAATTTACTTCTCACACACTGCTCGTAGTCCTCGTACAAGAGTGCAGCAACATAAGAGACGTGATAGAACGTTACGTGATAGAACGTTACGTGATAGAACGTTACGTGATAAACACCCAAGCAACCAAATCTAAACCCAGTCACCGAAATTCGGTGCCGCCTTCATTAGAGCATACCAAACTAGTAGAAATGAACGCATGTATGTAGATGTACATACTGGGAAATTGACTGTCTCTGTGTGCATACAGTGTGATTGCATGAGTACTAGCAAAGAAGGTCACAGCAATCGCAAAGTACAATACTCTGGCTGGACGTACCTTGTTGGGCGTTAGCGGGGAACTCAGACGGAGAAGATTCGCGATGAACTGAGAACATACCCCAACGGTCCAAGCGTTTATAGTGTATTTTACGCAGCTTTTTCGCAGCAGCGTTCAGGCCTGTAGCCGCTCTACCGAGTGCGAAGAGCACAAGGCAGCACCGTCGGATAGGGGCCGCGCCGATAAAGGTCACATTAGCCTTTCGCACCCAATAGGCTGTAAAAGGTGTTGTGAATTTTCCGGCTTCGTCGCATTGCATTCACTGACAGGTTCAGGGTGCGACTTCGTGGTCATGGAGACAAACGAAAGCACTATTCACATTAGGTAATCATGACAATCTGTGGTCGTCGAACCAGGAAAACCGGTTTGTTCGTTGTTCAGTGTCCAGTCCCAATGGACGATTATAAGGAATGTTCAGCCGTAAAGAACGCGTCATAGATTTCGTCCATATCATTGGCATGAGTTTGTGTGAATGACATCATCATAACTATGTTTTTTACCATGGGTTTATAATGACTGCAACACTGGCGCTTACGATACCACACGGTGTCATTACATACAGGCCAACTGAACTGATGATGTAGCTGCACACTGCACGTATTACCCTTTGTATAATCCACAACATGATCAAAGAAGGGAAATTTGTGCGTCGCTCCCCGAAATGGCGACAACCTCTTCTTATCATCGAAGAAGCAACTAGTTTCGGGTCGGTATGTGTTTTTACCTTCTTTTTTTTGCAATGGTGCCAAAACTGGTCCGCTTCTAGAAATTCAGGTGTGTTGGCTGTGCACAATCATTGAATTGCTTGACTGAAAAGCATCTTTGTTGGTACAGGTACGTTGCTACCATGTGAAAATCAACCCCTATGTCTCAGTGGCCGATACCAGGCTGGGACGGCACACGGAACTAAGGTAACAGGAATACTAGGAGTGCATGCATGTTCATCTACAAGTGTGAGAGAGCACCCAAGGCACTGGGAAGGCCCAGGACGACTATCCAATACCCGAATCAGTGAACACTGGCCAGTAGGACAAATCGGGAAACATGATACTCAGCTCAAAGCAACACAACGTGCAACTCGGCAAGTTCTTTGCGATAGAAAGTGCTTTGAATTGCACATCTTGGCAAAAAGACTCAATGCAGCGCAGAGCCAAGTATTTATATTAATTGTCTGCACCCCAATCTAGATCATGCAAATCTCTCATACGCCCATTCAAGCACATAACGTTGTGGTCCATCGAAATGAGTTTTTCGAATGATTGAAATCAGCGATGACTATTAGACAATAACGAGAAAAAGACGGTTGTCAAAGTGACTAGATGGAGATATAAATGTGTGTGCACATGATCCACAAAAAGAGAAAGAGGTGTTCAAAACATCATGATAATTGCAATTGTATCATCGTGGAACTCAGTGCTTAGGCACCTTATAATCTACTAAAGGACCGACTGCGTACACACGTAATCATAGGGGTCAAAGTAGCAGGGCTATAACGGGTTTTATCTACAATCATGATAGCCAAGTCTATATTCTCCAGGAAGAATGCCGACGCATCACGCTGCCCTCTCTATTCGACTTCAGTTACCGTTGTTTTCTGAATGTAGACTGCATCATCAGTCTCAACAATCCTGGTGACGGTCGTTTGGGACACTGAAACTCCATCCATTTTGAGCGAAGTTGGCTGATGACAGCGAATAGTACTGATACTGCATACAGAGAAACAAGCACACACACACACACACGCACACGCACGCAGACAAAAATACGCACGCACAACCACACACACGTACGCACACGAGCACACACACAAACACAGACAGGTTAACATATTGAAGACGAATGACTTGAACAGCAACAGATCGTCCGACTTCTTGCAACACAGTGCCACAAAATTGGCATTGCTTTCTAAAGCAAAAGAGTACAATGGGTAGAGTATAAACATGTTGCTCCTTCCAGCTACTCTTTGCTACCATTCGGATGAAGCACAACACAAAGCATCAATTAACAAATTAAAACACAACTACCTCCCAGCGCCACTGACACAAATGCCTGAACTGAACGTCTCAGATCGAAGGGTGCGCATTGACCTCCACGCCGAGAGAAATAATGGCACAGTATTAGCGCTATCGCATGCGCACAAACGCCCCCCCTCCCCCCCTCCTCCTCCCTCACAAACAGTGACACAAAACACATGGGCATTCATCCGCATAAACATAGTTTCGGCGACACACGTGAACTAGGACTCCGTGTTATCACTACAAGTATAAAATATTGTTACGTTCACAGTGTTACGAATTAGTAACATTTACCTTTTTGCGAAGCGACAAACGGACAAGAACAGCCACGAAGGTTTGCGAACAAGTGATCATTCTCTCCCCCGCACGGACGGATTTATAGTCATATAACCCATGATGACCGGCGTCCACCTTTCAGGCTTACTGAGATCATTCAGCGTGGGGCATGGGTACCCGCGGCCAGGTGTGGGAGGCCTGGAATCCCATCCCCGCAATCTCTAGACTCCATCTCAACACGCGCAGTAGATTTTCCGGTTCACCAACATTTGTGCGTGTGGAAAGTTCAAGGTGCTGTGCCCGAAGAGGATGGGTAGGACAGTAATGACTTTGCGTTATTACGCTTGCCGTGTTGGGCAAGACTACAACAAATATGTGTTGAAAACGTATGAAGGGATTATGAAGACGTAATGGCTCCACGCGCAAAGAACACTGCAAGCTTCTGGATGGCGTGGCGGTACATTGTGCGATTGCATTCTCATATTGGTAACCAGCTCTAACTGATAAGCATGACGGAGAACTACCCTCAATTTTTGCCAACTACGTGTTCATGTAGGGGTACGTGTGCAGTGCATCTATCATGTACAAGAAGGCAACGAGTTATGTACGTGGCTTACCAATGTCTGAACATGTCAAACACCCGTCTATGCAGCAATAACATTGACAGCGTGGACGGCACACGCGCAACAACGCTCATGTGCGAGGCGCAGGTTTTCCTTGACAGGAGTTCGAAGTCCGTCGCTGTGGTCCAGCGAAATCTCCTTGACTGAAAGTTACTTGCAGAAATGGGTGTGCAGGAGCGTAGAATACTGTGTACCGCCTGACGTGTCATGCTGAGCTTACGTACAGTTCATCTTTGAAGCGAAAGTGTCATTCTATATTCTTATGTACATGCCCAAATCTACTACATGATAGTACTGTTTTGCCTGTGCATTCCCAACACTGGAAACAAACTGCCTGTCTGGCGAATTCGTTCGTGACAACCTCTCATTTTCTCGACATGTATTGTTGTAGTAGTAGGAGTCAGATGGATAGTGGAGTACAAGTGTAGTGATCAGGTGCAACTATTCTTTCTAGTACTGGTGCTGAACCGCCGAAGTACCGTACTTCCGCGGCTTAGCACCAGTGCTAGAAAGAACCCCTGCTCATCTGAGTGGTGGCGAGCGTGGTGGTGTGTTTTGTTCGCGTTTTGCAGAGGGACAAGAGGTATTGATATGATTCGGACACCAATTTAAAGGAAGGTCTATATCCATTACTAGTGGCTGGTTGATTGCATCTTCAACACTGAACGGTGTAGACATGCACAGAGTTCAGTGCACAATGTAATTACTATTTACCCATCGTGATCAACGAGTGGTTGTATTCAAGACGATGCATCTACTGTGTATTGCTAGCAACTAAAAAGGAGTTTGGCCCATGAAGCGTCCTCAGCAGACACAATTAATGTTATAATAACTCATCATTCCTTTGCTACTAAGGGGTGTGTAAGCGCTCACATCGAACAAGGGTTTGGGGAGAGAGCTTTTGTAGTCCCAACTATGGCTCTGTGAAGAGCGAAGTGACCAGCGAAAAGTTAACCAACATAGGGATCACTCACACATACTCTGTATGCAGTCATGAACGGGCACACTCAGAAAGGTAAGGAATTTTCAGGCTTTGAATTCTATCTGTTCGTCAAGATAACTTTGAATGACATCTGGAAGGTAAGATCAAGAAGAACATGATTGTGGAGATCCGGCCATCAACTAGGAGTACGTTGCACGGTGAAAAGAATGAGAGTATGGAGCATCACATGAACGAGAGGGTGCTCAATGCTAAGCCTCAAACATGCTATGCGGTAGTTGGTAGTCACAAGGAGAGAGAGAGGGGGGGGGGGGGGGTTGAGTAAAGTGTACTACGCTCAACATATCTATGACGAAAAACGAAGGCTTACGACAACACGGATGGCTTATATACAATCATCGAAGGCAGTACGTGTATATCTCTACTCGGATTCGGTGATGGTCGTCTCCTCCACATAAATGGCGTCATCCGTCTCGACCACTTTCGTGATCTTCGTGATGGAGGTCGTAGAAGAGTCCCTGTCCATGTTGAGAGGAAGGTTTGCTTGGTCGATGAGAACCTGAGGGGATTGCACACAAAACACAGTAGACGGGAGCTTTAGAAGCAATTCGAATTCAGGATGATAACAAGCACACGTGGACAGAGGGCGAGATCAAGGGGCCTGGTGAATCCTTGAAATACAAAATAAATAAAAAAAAACAATAAAAAAAGTTTTGGGTCCTCTTCACTCGGCAGAGATGATTCTAGGGAGCTGTACTCATTATGCCGAGAGGCGGGCTAACACCCCAGTGTGGAAATTTTCCCAAGACGAAGTGAACACAGTAGTAGTCGTACTGGGCTAAGTTGAAAAATATAAATAAAATAGAACACGGAGGTTGAAAAATTGTACTCACTGTGGAGTGGAGAGGTAGATGTGGAGCGTTGAAGCAGTCGCAAGGAACTGAGGGAATGTTCTCGGACTTTCGCGTCTTGTACCAGCGTTCTATTCCAGGCTCAGTCAGCGGCGGGCGGTGAAATGATGAGTGCTTATCGCTGGTTTCGGGCATACACGTCTTGCGTGGAATAGAAGTCAGAACGTGCGCGGCTGTCGTAGAGAACAAATTCTTCTTCATTCCGTAAACAGAAAGATGACATTAGCATTTGTTTGATGCGTTTGGGTATTCGCGCTTGCCTGCTTGTGCCTGCGTGTTCGTGCGCGCGCTTGTGCCAGAGAGCGACCACAGCACGGCTCAGTTTTCCTTGTTGTCAATGCTCTGCTTGAGACAATTGTCTGCGTGAGACAATGGTATGTGTAGCGTAAGTGTCTATCAGGGCACAGGTAGAACGAAAGGATACCATGCTCTCCGTTTCCAGCGTCAGAGTTACTACTCACAGCTGCAGTCCAAGTGAACTTTCGGCAGACTTTCCTGGATAGTGGATACATCTTGGCGCCAGGTGGCGTGCGCGATCGAGGCGTTTTGCGCTTGGTACCATGTATTGAACGAAACGACATGTTGGGAGCGACTGTAAGGGATCTAGGACTGTCACTGTCCATGATAATGCAATGGAGTGATAGCGCCAGGAAAAATTACTATGGCCCCATTACTATGGGTACCAGTAGACGACATACGATATGGTCTGCCACTGGATAGTGTAAGCGATCATTGTGTCTGTGGGAAGTCCATGACCACCCACCACGCCCTCACGTGCCCGACCGGCAGCTATCCGTCGACTCCCCATAACGAGCTTCGGGACCTCCTGGCGGGCGTACTGCAGGATGTACTGCCTGATGTGAAGATTGAGCCACGCATGCTCCCACTACACGCTGAAAAAAACGATTTCGTGTTTAGCTTTTGCGTTCAATTTTATATTTCAATTGAGTGTTCTATTTATTTCCGAAATTGGGTTGTCTTTTTGCTTTGACTCTTACTTCATGGTGTTAAGAATAAAACCGTTCTCAAGTAGACGGCAGCACTGTCACACACGGACGCGACTTGTCCTGCTAGAGTACTCATTCCGCATGATGGGCAGAGCGCAGTGCACAAGAGTTCCCTTTGCGTACCACTCATGACTTGCCTCCTTTCCCTTGACTCACTTGTGAGGTCTGCATTCGACACTCAGGTTATATGGGCCAAATGGTGGCCCGCCGATGCGACTGTATTTGCTTGATGTATTCCTAAACACGTCAGGTGATGCGGCCGCGAATTCGGCTAACTTTACTTTCTTTCCTTTTTTACACCTCGTGCACCACGCCAATAACAAAAGCGATCGTCTGTGCTTAGATCTTGCAACTCGGACTCGTTACCATGGTTACCGTGTTATCTCCTGCCTGCTTCATGTTTGGAGCTTCACTGCATTGTCTGGGTCTCCACCTCGGCACCATAGCTGGCAGTGGTGCATACGGGTAGGTATAATGTTGTAACCTCTCATATTGCTGCTCAAACACCAGCTAGCTAAGACGGAAATATAAGATATATATATATATATATATAGAACGAAACAGCATGCTGTCCGCAGATTGAGTATATATATATATATATGTTGGACTCAGTAGAGCGTCCAGCCCCTATATGATGTCCAACCCCTATATAGAGTCCATTGGTCCAAAATCCACTGTACAGAGTCCAAACTTGGAATCAACTGTGAGCTTAAAGTTTAGATGGACATCACTCCCTGTATAGAGTCCAGCCAATTGGCTTCACCCCTATATAGAGTCCATTGGTCCAAAATCAACTGTATGGAGTCCAAACTTTGAAATCAACTATAAGGAGTCTTTATGTGGACAACACTCCTTGTATAAAGTCCAGCCAATTAGGCATTCCCTATCCAGAGTTCGAAATTAGACAAAGGATCTGCTGTAAGCAGTGAATATTAACCAGAAAACGGCCTCTCCCTTTAATCCTTTACATCATTCACTTCTCAAGATAAAAAATAAGTATTGAGGCGCCACTGCAGCCACTTCATTACATGAAAAACCCTACAAACACCATCCTCAAATCAAGTGGTCTTTTCGCAGACACTGCAAATTACAATATCTCAATCATGTAGTGTTGCCAAATTATTGTGCACGCACACACACACACACATGCACATACCCACACAACGCCAAGAAAATACCTAGAAAAAAACCAAGAATCGAAAGAGAATAATGGAGAGCCAAGGATTAATTATTTGTTTTCAAATTATTGTGCACGCGCACACACACAAACACACACACACACACACAAACTTATACAACGCCAGGAAAACACCAAGAAAAGAGTAGAGACCCAATAAACACGCAACTCCAACAGCCATGCAAACGTCCACCCATTTACACGTAAAGTCAAGAGGGATAACAAATAATTATACGAAACGAATGCATACGTGGGCGGATGCGCGCACGTTTACATACGTGTAGTAGCGTAAGAGAGTAACATAGTGCAGTAGTCAGCATAATACTAGGACATGCTGAGAGTGCAATAGCAAGCTTCACCATTGCTCATGGCCATGCAAAAGTTCAGCAGCACTCAGTTCCACAATCTTCTGAAGATCAGCACACCTGCAACAAATAGATAGCACAAGGATACGCGTATTACCGTAATGATGCATAGAAGCACACAACTACCAAGTTCTCAACGAATGTAATGCTCAATGAAAATCCATCCACTCAAAGACCTGTGAACAGGTGACGGTGGGGACAATAATCTATTAGCAATACGAGGAATACTGTAAGACATGTATAATATTACGAGGAAGCAAATCTAACGTTTTAACGGATGACATTTCTTCGTTATAATAAGATCCGTTGAGGCCGTACTGATTCATATTATGCTATGTGTGGATATGGCAGAATACTGCAAGATCGTTAACATTATCTTCTCGTTAACCTATGAATTTTGGACAATCGTTAAATTTGCGACTCGTTATAATAACATGTCTTACAGTAAGATCGTTTGTGCACACTCAAGATGCACAGACACACCACCATACATGTAGTGTACACAGTGTTTCACTTCACTGCAACTAAATTGAAATGAGATGATTTGAACAATCTGTACAGCGTTGCCGTCAGTCAGTCTTCCCCAAGATGGAAATGCAATGATTTGTTGTCACGAGGCAGTTTCACTGACACAATGTCATGTTTGTGACATCAAAACGGTTACTTCATGGAATACGAGTACATGTATTAGCTTGAGAAGCTTTTTCTTGTCATCGGCATACGAGAAATCCTCCTCCTCCTACTACTACTACTACTACTACTACTACTAGTACACTGGCACTGCGTTTGTGGATCCCATTGTATTTGACATCATACTAGAGCCTAGTACTAGTAGTAGAGGAAGAGTGTCGTGGAGTTCACATAATTATCACAGGGATAAAAATACATTTCTCATGAAATAAAATAATAATTGATGATAGCTAGACGATCATATACGATTGATGCGAAGTCCTTGCAGTCCTTGAGGACTATTACGAAGTGGTTGATTACTTTTAGGGCATTCATTCAAGCAACATCAAACAAACGCGATACGATCCTTGAAAATGGAAAAAAATTCAAGCATAACGACAAAACAGCAAACCAATCGAAACGAGTAAAAGCTTCCTTACCTCAGTCATCGTCCTGCCATGTAGTTGGACAGCCTTTTGACACGGTGGTACAGGCAGCTCTTGTCCAGTCAAACAGGGTATCCTTGTGGCGTCGAACGAAAGAGAGTGTCAGTGTATCTGACTCGTCAGATTGGAACTGTGCTGAACTTTTCTCGTTCTCCGCTTTCTGCTTTCATCCCTCGCTCTGATGAAACCGTTCAAACGCCTTACTGGCAGTAATGGCCAGCCAAACAGGGGATCCTTGTGGCGTCGAACGAAAGAGAGTGTCAGGGTACCTGACTCGTCAGATTTGAACTGTGCGGAACTTTTCTCGTTCTGCAATTTCTGCTTTCATCCCGCGCACTGATGAAACGTCTTCAGAGAACCACAAGACGCTTTCCAGATTTGATTTTGAACGTCTCCTTATCCTCCTTGGTTACCTCGAGACAGATTACTGTCAGCAACTGCACAGCAGAACTGGCAGCCATGGCTGAAGTGAAGAAAGGAATGCGCTGCCACGAGGCAAGCAAAACTGAAAAGGTGTTTGTTCTCTTCAATTTCGGACACAACACACAGGACGGCGTGACTGGATAAACTGGACTCCTGGACCGTGAATAGGGGACTTGTAGAAAAAGTGTACTCCTTATAGGGGATTGCGCGGCAGGATGAAGCTGATCAAAACTGAGTGGACTCCTGGACTCTGTATAGTGGATTTTGGACCAATGGACTCTATATAGGGTGCTGGACATCATATAGTGCATGGACTCTATACTGAGTCCTACATATATATATAAAACAGAGAGGTTCCAGGCTGTCCAAGAGAGTGCTCAATACCGAGTGGTAGAGCTGGTTCAAACAATAGAAGGACAGAGGAAGTGTTTTTACTCAGAGTTTCACGCACTAAGCGATCATCAGAAAACAGATATATATATATAGAGAGAGAGAGATAAAGATAGAGATAGAGACAGAGACAGAGATAGAGATAGGACAGAGAAAAACAGAGAGAGAGAGCGAGAGCGAGAGAGAGAGAAATAGAGAGAGAGATAGAGAGAGAGCGAAAGAGAGAGAAGGAGAGAGCGAAAGAGAGAGAGAAGGAGAGAGAGAAACAGATAGAGAGAGAAAGACTGAGAGAGAGAGAAAGAGAAGTAGAGAGAGGGAGAGAGAGAGAGAGAGAGAGAGAGAGAGAGAGAGAGAGAGAGAGAGAGAGAAAGAGAGAGAGAAAGAGAAAGAGAAAGATGGAGGGAAAGAGAGAGAGACAGAGAGAGAGAGAGACAGAGAGAGAGAGAGAGAGAGAGAGAGAGAGAGAGAGAGAGAGAGAGAGAGAGAGAGAGAGAGAGAGAGAGGAGAGAGAGAGAGAGAGAGAGAGAGAGAGGGAGAGAGAGACACACACACAGAAGCAGAGAGACAGAGAGAGAGAGAGAGTGAGACAGAGAGAGACAGAGAGAGAGAGAGAGACAGAGAGATAGAGATAGACAGATAGATAGATAGATAGAGAATTAGAGAGAGAGAGAGAGAGAGAGGGACACACATACACAGAGACGGAGAGAGGGAGAGAGAGAGAATCACACCACGCACTACGCACCATGTATAGGCCCCTCTCATCACACACACATGCAAAGAGAGAGCCATAGAAAGGGGAGATATGGTGTAGATGCATAGAAAAAGCGAAAGAGAGGATAGAGAGAAAGAAAGGGGAAGAATAGAAATCACTCGATATCACGCAGTGATTTGCGTCTTTGAATGATTGGCACTTTGTGGGATGTGCGGATATGACTGGCTCGCCGTCAGGTTTGCGCAACTGCGTTTTAGGACGTGCTGCAACTGTCTAAATAATTCAAAGCAGCGTAAATATACTCACGGTATTCTGTATTACTCTGCAGGGCGATAAGGCACACTCTCATCACCCCCCCCCCCCTCCCTCCTTGCTCTACCGTTCCATGCAACCGATCAGGGTTTTAGCACCTCCTGTGATAGCCAGTGGATCAGGCTGCTCTACCTACTCTCTTTGATTCCAACGTTTAGTAAAGATTCTGCCCAGTGACCCAGCAAAGCGACATTGCATTGAGAGGAAATAACACGGCCACGTTAATTAAGCCTCGAATAATTGAATGTCTCCTAGCTAGGCCTTACTCGGGAAAACTTGAAATAGGACAAAACACGCGAATCACCAGACCTAGATATGCACATGTACAGTGCTGGGGCAACTGAAATCCGGCACCTGCGCGGTGCGCTCACATCGCAAAGACCCAACGCAGGATAGTAAAACTACGAAACTAGAGACCGCTAGAATGTGAACGCGTCGCTCAGGGGTCGGATTTCAGTTGCCAGCACTGTACAGTCATGTACCTGTGTAGGTTAGCCCAATATGCACTCCGGTCATGAAAATAATGGAGCGGCAGTGATCATCCAGAATGGTCACGAATTGAAGCGAAAAATAGTGTGGAACAAACGTGCGAGAATTGTGATTGCGTGAGCAGACTAGAGACCAGAGATGCCAGAAGTGTCGCAGGGAAAAGTACTTTCATCTACATGTAGGTTTAATTATGCCTAAGTAACAAATACTACATGGATGCAGCTAATGGGGTCGTTCTCGGCACTTGTGCCAGTGGTTGTGAGACTTATCCACTCACCCCCCGGGGCCCCCCACCGTTAGGCGCTGCATCTGCCTCTAGGGTTTACCGGGTGTTAGCGGCCGTCGTGAGTTTCCTTTGGGAACGGACACGATAATTTATTTATTTACTTAGGTAACAAACACAATGGAAAGAACATGAACTATGGATAGATTGCAAACGTGGACTGCTGGCAGTAATATGTTGTGCACATATTACTTAACATTGAATCAGCAATTTGAATGCCTTTTAGATTTGAATACCTTGAAGATTTGAATGCCTTTTAGATTTGAATGCCTTTCAGATTTGAGCACAGGGGAGAGTTTGTCAGAGTTACAGTTTTTGCGTACTAGATAGAACTGCTACAGTATGTATGGTGATGATGGCGCAGTCAGACGCTAGAAGCAGAAAATCCCTGGGCTTGCTAAAATGCTAGCCGAGAAGATCGTGCGGAGCCCGGCCGCCACAGTCCGCTCACATTCTCCTGGCTAAGGCAGAACTTGCGCTGGCTCCTTCATCATCGCTATCACCATAGTAACCGCCGGAAGACTTGAGAAGTTTGAACATAGACTTACTACTGCCACTGGCACCAGTCGTTCTGCGTGTCGTGGAGGATGGACGGTGGCGAGATCCACTACCTTTAGCCGCCGGCAACCCGAGAGGGAAGGTCATGTCGTTGAGCGATAATCCCCGGGACGGAGAGGAACTCGTCATCTTGTCCTTGTTTATGAGGAGATGAAGCATAGATGCTGCATCCTTAGGCGGCATGAAACAGGACACGGATACGTCATCACCTTTGCCCATCTGAATTTTGCAGATCTCCATGAACGGCTGGAATGGGCTTGGGAAAGGATCAAAGGGCGAGACAGCCTTTCCGACGCAAAAGGATACTACATGGGTGCCCACCCAGCCCACATGCGCTCTGGCCAGTTCCCAACCCGTTAGCTTGGCGAGCAAAGACGCTAGTCCATGAATGAGAAAAATGACCGTGAAGGCTATCCCAGCTCCCAGTGCCCCGGCCGCCATCAGCATTATGGTAGCGGTGGCCCCTCGCTGCTGCCGCTTGTACTATTCGAAGTGCTCCATTATCCTGCCTCGAGTCACCTCCTCATCAGAGGCCTGGATTCGGCTGAGAGTACCAGGCATGATTGACTCCTGGGGATGCTCCGCAGCTCATCTATTCTAGTTTCTGCTGGCAATGAAACAAGAGCTCCGATGGCTCGATGAAAGGCCTGGAAGTTTTCCAAACCAGCATTAAAACCAAAATTTAATGATTATACTAATACAGTTAGCGCCCATCTCCCGAGCCACACACATATCCAGGCACAGTACTGTTTGGGGTTTGGGCGCTTGTATTTGAACGCCTGCCACAACCGTGTGACAGGCGGATAGACATCATTGACAAATGTGCATATCACGAGGTAATTGCTGCTCAAAAAAAAAAAAAAAAAACCTCAAAGAGCGCAAGGGCAAAGAGTTGCTGTTGTGCCAACAAGCAGGAGACAAGAGTGCCCTCAACCTCCTTGGTCCCGCGTGCGATCGCCCCATGCTGAAAGGGGCAGCCAGGGCGGCTGTGCGTACAGCCCCGCTGGTTGCTGCGCCGCCTCGGCCGCGTGGCCGGCTTGCTCGGTCCACGGCGATAACTACGGTTTGCCCTACTGCAAACCTACATAAAAGGAGATCTGTGGGCGCATAATTATTATATACACCTCCAGGACAGCATAATCCCTATTATTCATGGGGCGTTCCCATCTGATGTCATACTAAGTGCAAGTTACATGTATGGAAGTACGTTGTACTGGCAGAATTGTCCAGGCTGAGCCAGGAAACTACAGACTCATCACTATGAATTATGCACTACTTTAGCAATAATTATGATGTATGTGTGCGATGTGAGGAACTGGTGATCTAAGACAGCAGCACTGCATAGTAATAGTACCCGTAAGCGCACCAGAATGAGATCAGTATCAATTGCTTTTGGCTATGTGCAAGTCTTCTGGCAGAGTGGCGCCCGTACTATTTGGGTATAGCCGGTGCGCCCGCCACAGCGACGTGCTGAGGAGTAGACGGACTGACAAGAGCGTTTCATTCAACACTCCACCTGGCACTCGTTGACAACAGGAGTCAAATCAGATGTCAGTAGTGAGCCACATTGCTACTTGGTGGTACAACTACACAACTGTTTATTCGTCAGGCTCAGAGTGAAGGTAAAATATTTGCGATGTACGATGTAGTTCCCTCCACGAACATGTTGCGCGATCGGAGGCCTTTACTTTGTAATCAGATGTTTGCCGTGTGTAATCAGATGTTTCCTACCAATAGTATTTCTGATCCAGGTCTTGCTTCACAGAGTAAGATAATATTCAAGTTAATAATTATGTACATGCGCAAGGACATGTATTTCTGCCTGAGTCGTCCAATCGCAGGGCCGGACTAGCGATGAGACTGGATCATCATAATAGGATGACTTCATCATAATTATTATGTTGAAGTCATCCCACCGTGCCTCTCTGCGCGCTGAACGGTTGGCCATGCACGCGCACTACACGTATTGGGCGATGTGTGATGGGGAAACTGTGTATTTTTCGTACAGACAGTGTACCCGTATGAACATGTGTGTTTCTATTTCTGAGGGTATTGTCAAGCACAACCACACCGACGGCAAGTGAACTCAACGAAAATCGATTTAGAATTACCAGTGAGCGAGCACTCCATTCAGCAGATAACATTAAAGAAAAAACAAGGAAAAAAGGAGATTGGTTGCTTGCACCGCACCTCACATCTTTTCAACCAACTTGGCTTGGAACTTCACTGAATTTTCGTAACATCCAACAATGTGAGTGACGACAATGCCGCAGCAAGTATGTGGACAGAAAATCAACAGGAGGCGGACCATGTACTAATGAACACTGTGTATAACAATTGGGTGTAGTTCAAAGAAAGGTTCGTTAGCCCCATATGCCTCCCATACGGTGAGATTTCTGCTAGAGAGTGACAAATTGAAATTCAATGTAAAAGTACAGTATTTTGGTGATGAAAGACTGTCACTTGTCACAGTGTAACGAGTGTTCAGAATCTGGCTTAGCCGAGAAGAGTGGCGAGTCGTTCTCGCTAACCTCCTCTGTATCTTCCCGCATTGACTCTCACTCCCCGTTGAGCAGTCTCAGGACATACTCCTGCGCTTCCTGACTGCTCATCGATGAGTAGTCTGGTGTTGCAGCGCTGGGCATGCTGAGCGGGAAGGACGGAATTGTGATGCCCAAGTCGGCGCCACCGCCCGTATACGCGCTGACCCAGCTCTGAACATCATGTTGCCCGATGGTGCCCATGACCGCGAAGTCGCTCTTCGTACTCTGCCATTTGTCTTTGATGAACATAGAGAGCGGTGTCATTGGTCCTGGAAGGGAGATGGGGTTGACTGCGCTGAACGTTTTGGAAGCCACCATCACTATTCCTTTGTCGGCGAGCCACGGGATATGGCCAATCTGATGCAAGCCCATGTGAACGAGCTGGCCGACCATGTGCGCAAGGCTGTGAGGGACAAAGAGGGTGAATGCAGCGGCGGCTGCCACGGCTCCAGCGCCCATCAGCACAATAGTGCCCTTCGATAGCAAAGAGTTAACTTTGCTACGTTTGTAAAGTTGCAAGTTTTGTATTTCCTTCATCTTCACGATGGTTCCTAGCTCTTTCGCGCCAATGAACAAGGCAATTAGAGAGACGTGTTGTCTGTTTTCACTTCACAAAGACTCAAATTCAGTAGTCCTGACCTACACACGCTACAATGCCACTAACATCATATTCGCATGGATAATATACTACAGGAATACTCCCCGGACCTTGCGTACGTGCTGCGCAGTGCCAGTGAGGCAGGCAGATGCTAATGCAAGCAATGGTTCTGCGTGGGCAGAACCCAGAGAAGTCGTTACAATTCGTAGGCCACATTTTCCGGGCCGTTCACGAGCACGCGCGTCGTGGATGGCGTGTGGACCAGCTGCAAGAGACAGGATTGCGGAAGATGACTACAATTACAGTGTCAATTCCCAGTTAGTCATTCACAGAGAACCCGAGGCTGTCATTAGGGCAAGACTATTAGTGTTCTTTCGGACGGTAACAACTGTAAACACGTCACCCGTAACAAAGTACAACGGTAATAACAACCAGCTCAGCCGGAAAGTTTCGAGATTGTGTCCCTATCCTGCCAGTGCTCCGAAAGGCCACCGCTGAGCATAAGCACCAGGGGGTGTCATTCGATTCAGATCTACCCTGTCCTTGAATATCTTGGCAAATGCTAGGAGACAGCATGACGTCTGTCAGTCTGTCAATCGGCGGACTGTCAGCAAGCCACAGTACAGCTCTCCTTACCCGGCGAGGTGCTTCATCTTCTACACATTTGAATGGCAGCGTAACCCAGTGATTAATCCAGCAGAGCACAATATCACCGATACTGTTGATCGACTAAGACTAAAGATTCTTGTTTGCTCCCCACATCAGTAGCGGATACGATACTACATGTACTACGTGTGGTTGTAAACAATTGTGTACACTTGCGTGTGTGCATCCATTACACTTCATGGACCATTGTCTTCATAAAACGGTATGCATTTTGGGAACAAAAACATCATTGACAGGAACGTGAGGAATACTGCCGTCCGCTCCCAGATCACAACGGGGGTTGAGGTTGTATGAAGCATCGAAGAGGGGAGCGAAACTGATGATGATGATTGTGTCCGTACCGGAATTCTATGCCCGTCAGGCAGTGCTTAGCCCTAGTCGATGTGCATAACAGATTACAGGGAATTACTGATGCTTATTGCGTGTGTCACTACAGTACTCTGTACGACTATACAGTCAAACCTGGTTGAAGCAACCACCCCACGGTGCAAGGAAAGCGGACGTAAAGCCAGGTGGTCTTTAGAACCAGGTCCCACAGTATCTGTGTAGAACTGTCTGTGCATGGAAAACGGTCGTTAAGAGCGGGTGGTGTCTGAAACGAGAAGTCGCTTACATCTGGTTTTTCGTATTATGTAAGTATAGATGAGACACACGCACACAAACACACACACATACACACGCACACAAACCCACACACGCACACGCACGCGGAGACATTAGAAACAGGTCGCGCACATCGACTGTACAGGCAGAACACTCTCCACGAACATTCCGAAAACGTGGCGCAGTAAGGAACAATATCTATATGATTTCAGGGACATCCATCTCTAGATGCAGAGCAATAGTTCGAAGCACATGTACTAGGAATATAAAATAGGACGTGAGCATGTACTGCAATGCCAAGAACACAGGAGCGGCCAAAGTGAATAATTATGTGTATCAACAGAGGATCAGCAGTGCACCTGTACAAAATGTAAAGAGGCCGATCGAACCAAAAATAGAAATGAAAAAAGTTTAAAAAGGGAGATCAGTAGCGAACATAAAGAGTCCAGAAGAAAACGTACAAGAAAGATGATAGGCCAAAACAAAAAATAGACTTGTTTCCGGTCGGCAACCCCTCAAAAAGGAGACTCGGTCGGCCGGAATGAAACTTTTTTTGGATACTTTTTTTTGGTTCCTCAAGGCTCAATCGTTGTGGCATTGATGGACTGGAGCACCTACACATGTACATTGTACATATATCATGGCAAGGATCAATGTCAAAGTTGACTGACTCACTGTTCTTGTACAGCATGTGTTCCTGTTTTCGTACATCCTGAGAAAGCAGACAGTTCGAGTCCTTCCAGCTCCGTTATTCTAGCTCGTATCGACCCCGGAGGTTTACGAGCCGACAGCCGAGAATCTCTGCTACCTTTTAGGTGTTTCGATTGTGGGTTGAGATTTGACTGAGTTATGACTCGTTTAGTGCACTTGCACACATGGCATTGCCACCGTTTGCATACATTTGGGACCAAAAAAAGTTTCAGAATTTGGGAAAAAGTGTTTATTTTGCCCGTACAAGAGGCTTGGTTGCGTTGAAAAAAAACAAAAACATCCTAGCTCTACTGGGACATACATGTACGTAAGTCGTTGTACGGTTGGCTTCGTTGTTGTCCATGGCAACCGTGCGCGGCTGATCCGGATCGAGGTCCATTTTTGACTATGTAGTACAGGTACCTATGACGACAATTTTGCTGGCGTGGTGACCGCACTAGGCTGACTGTACGCGACCTAAGCCGTAGTAAGCGCCTGGGCCTAGCGGTAGTGGCGCGGGCAGTGCATAGCTTTTTTTGGTCCCAAATGTATGCAAACGGTGGCAATGCCATGTGTGCAAGTGCACTAAACGAGTCATAACTCAGTCAAATCTCAACCCACAATCGAAACACCTAAAAGGTAGCAGAGATTCTCGGCTGTCGGCTCGTAAACCTCCGGGGTCGATACGAGCTAGAGTAACGGAGCTGGAAGGACTCGAACTGTCTGCTTTCTCAGGATGTACGAAAACAGGAACACATGCTGTACAAGAACAGTGAGTCAGTCAACTTTGACATTGATCCTTGCCATGATATATGTACAATGTACATGTGTAGGTGCTCCAGTCCATCAATGCCACAACGATTGAGCCTTGAGGAACCAAAAAAAGTATCCAAAAAAAGTTTCATTCCGGCCGACCGAGTCTCCTTTTTGAGGGGTTGCCGACCGGAAACAAGTCTATTTTTTGTTTTGGCCTAATGATTACGAGTG